CTTAGTTGTTTAATTTTGCAGTTGATCTTCTCGGGATTGTCACTTTTGTTCAGAAACTTCAAAGAGGAGTTCATATGTCTGATACATCGGATACACCCACAGAACGTCCACTTATTCGTTTTGTACTCGAAGATCTCGGGTAAGTACAACTTATCCTCAGAATATCTGGTGTCAGACTTGGGTTTCTTGATATATTAAAATATGTTAATTATCTTCTATGTTGGTGTAAATATATAAACTGGAAATTCCTTGAAATGTATTGCTTGGGATAACTTGGCAATAAAATTTGAAGAACTTTGGACGAATCGTGATAGGTCTTCAAGACATATTATTGTATTGAGATTTTTCTCTTTCAATAGGTGGAGAGGTACATAAATATTAACTATTAATATCTATTCAATACAGCAATTAATCAGAAGTTTAACAAATTTATTGTTTCCACATGCGTACTGAATATGTATATGTAATTAGATGAGTGGATAGTTGAATCGGAAAGATTCATATCTGATATTCTCGAGGATCCTCCTACTCCAGAAGTGGCAATAGCAAAGATGAGGTATATAAATTCCATCTCTGATGTTATATTCTGTATATTTATTCTATTGACATCTATTTTATGATTTTATAATATTGTCATATTGTTCCAGGCTTAAAACTTCAGTTGATTTTACCCCTTTGGATGATGGATATGAAGATCAGTATCCGTAGGAGATATTAATTTTTTATTTCGTTTTTTATAGGTTGTGTACTTGAACAACATAGCTATTTCTTATTTTTATTGTAATAAATAAATTATTCAATATCTATAAACTTCACCTGTTTCGCAAAGCATCTCATTTTAGCGTATTGTTTTTGATTTACAAAGAGTGTCACTTTTTGTTTTCAATGCAAAATTGTGTTCATAGTCCATTGATACCATTGTTGATTTAAAAGTATTATAATATTTCACTATGAAAATACATATGTATATATATAATAAACATATATTTTAAAAATGGAAGAAAATAAGGTATACGAAAAGAATAATATAAGCATAGTTTTGATATAGTACCATCGTTTATTGAATCAAATGATGAAAACATAAATAAAAAAGAAAACCAAACATACGAAAAGAAAAAAACTATTCAAAAACTTAATATAACACCATCGTCTGATTCTATGATTGTGGTTCGCATTCTCTCGACTTCGGGTAGGTTAGGGTTTAATAAAATTTCGGTACAATCGTATGCGGTTATCGCTGCCCAACCATGTGCAAATTTGAACAGTTGGACGAATCGTATAACACAAATGTTAATTTTGTGTTCTTTCTGTGATAAAGCAGTCATCAGGTCCAGTGCATAGTCGTTCCGTAATAACACTTGCAATCTAGCATCTCTGTTGGGCATATAATAATCATATAATGTAGTAAAAATTGATAATTACAGTGATTGCAATTGAGAAACATATTTTAAAAACTTACGATTCGTTACGGAGCTCCACGTAAACATCACCCCACTTTCTTTGGCTCTTGGAGGATTTGTGACTAAATGTTCCAATCACTGCGATATGTCCAATTATATCTAATAAAAAGATTAGTTAGTTATTGAGAAAGTTTATAGATATAAAATAACATATATTTTTTGTTATTATTTATTAATTTATCTAAAGTCATACCAACGAAAAACAATGAGTCTCGGAGATTGTTGTGTATGTTACCAAATTCAACAATACTTAGGTAGTTGTTGTTATCATAGAAATGGATCTTTGAAAACTAAGTTTGAGAATTCCATATTATTTTATAATTGTGAAACGTCGGCCTCAAGTCTCCGATGACAGGGACTACACCAAAACGATACAGAATAATTGAATCTCCCTGCTTCACTTCTGATGTAAATTTGTCTATAAACCCTTTTGATATTGATCCATTTATTTTATCACCCTATAAAAACAAAAATATGTATATCAGAGAAGTGATATGCACGGAACATATAAAGTCACTGGAATACCTTTTTATCAACCAACACCAAATCTAGAGTGTTTTCAGGTTCACCGATGTGCTCGAAAATACACAGTATTTTCACACGAATACGGCGTACTTGATTTGATGGAGTTATATCGGAGACATTGGTGTAAGTCATGTTTTTCATTGCTAAAAGACAAGCAGCGATCGACATGATGTAGTGCTTATAAAACCTAAAAAGTAGTCGTCATATATAACTCGGTAATTCTAATACATCGTTTTTATATATAACGATGCAAATGGCTCACCTCCGATATATTTCTAATACAAATCGGAAAATTGTTATAATTATAATAATATAATATAATAGATCCCTAATACAAATCGGAAAGGGTATCCCTGTGATCCCAATCTGGAAGGAATGTATCAAGAGATTAAATTTTCTATCAAAGTAGTATGTTATCCTAAAAATGTAAAATAAGCATTAAGGTATCTCAAAAATGTAAAATATTTGATATATCCTTTTATTTTAAATTGTATAAATAAGAAATAAAAGTTTGGTTTAAATATTGTCTATGCTATGTTTATTTAAGGTACCTTTGGACGTAATCGTTGTAATTGATTTGAGGCTCTGGGTTTGCGTTTAACTTAAATGGCTTATCTCCTATCTATCGCCGTACATAAAAAATATGATCAAAATCTGTTTGGAATTTCCGAACTTGATCCTACCAAGCATATAAGGGAGACTAAGTTGAAAGTCTTACGGAAATTTAAAAGATTTCCTGAATGTGACCGCACGTTAGACTTTATAATGGGGGATTGGAAGCTATAACACATCAATTTCATGATTATATTTTATTTTTTGTAATGATAAATGTTTGAATGTTTGATTCTTTACTTTTCAGGGACAGAAGATTTATGTAACTGAACTGACTGAATTTTATAATAAGTATTCGACGATATGTAACGAGGGAGGTTGGGTTCTTCTAATAAATTTTAATCTATTGCCTCTTACTGGTGAATTTAAGCTAAGTACACATCCTTATATGATCCAATTTACCAGTGATACAACATGTGCAAGCTCTTATACTTTAGATATCAATGGTTATTTTTCGTTCGTTGTTTTTGAAGATATTATGAATGGGACTATTGATTTTAACTTCTGTGTGGGTGAGTATTCGGTGTATTTTTCATTACTGATTTGTCATTCAATTACTATATTGATTAATTGATATTCATTTTTTTTTTAAAACAGATTTAATCGGTAAGGTTGTCAACGTTGGAAACTTCAAGATAGAATTGGATCCTTAGGATACTCTAGACAGCCTATAATAAGATTCGATCTCGAAAACGAAAAGTAATCTATTTTATGTTAATAGAAATTAAAAAAACGAATTTTTAAGTTTAACACAAACTGATATTTGTTTGATGGGAAACTTTAGGAATCGACGTTTATCATGTTTTTTGAAAGGTGATTATGCTGAAACTTTTCTTCGTGAGTTGGGTGGATGTAAACAAGATGTCATTATTTGCATCATTCGTTTTGCGAAGATAATTGTTCGACAAGGTATTTTTATTTTTTGATATGAGATGGTTATACAGTATATGCGATAAATATGATTTGATTTTCGTTTGTTCGATAATACAGGGTGTTTCTTGGCAACTACCTCGTATGATTGCACACAAGTTATTCTAAATTCGCCATGCTTTGAGGTCTATCAGTTTCGAGAGTTGATATCCAGTCGTTAGACCCTGATGTTACGAGTTCCGTGCTAATGTTTTTGAAATTATTTTATATCAATTTTTATTTTTAGGTTTTATGGTTTGTGTTAAACATCGTATGTGATTTGAATAAAATCTGACTTTTGACGCAGTGTATGAAAATAATATTTTTTAATTATTATTTTCATATATGGATTTCGATGTTCACAGTTATCCCCAAAACGCATGCGTAACGAATTATAGTATAACTGTCCACGAAAAATATGTGATGGAATTTATTGAGATGATATGTTAAATAACCATATTTTTGGGATAATATTCAAGTTCTAAGAAATATAACGATAGTCTTTTCGGTTTTCGTGAAAATATTAGGATAATATATTTGTTGTAATGTAGAGGTATATTTTTAGGATTAACTCTGCATATTTGGAATAATAAATAATTATTTATAGGTCCGCGTTATTGTAATGTAGAATTATTTCAATAGTATTTTAACATTATCACGAAAAATGTAAATTTTCGATATTGGATATTATGGTGCATTAGAGAAGATAGGCATATTATTGCGAAGAATAAGTAATGTTAACATTATCGTAAGGTTTTCTATTTCGAAATTATTTTTATTACCAAAATTTTATTTTATTATGAGAAGCTAAAATGTATATTTTGCATTATCGTGCAATATAATAATATATATATATATATATAGTTTGTTAATGATTGTGTATTTAGATCACACATTTTTTTTTCGTGCTATTCACCAGAAAAAATGAAACGTAAGCTTGGGCGTCCTCGGAAAAAAGGTTCATCTTCGTCGATTGCTCCAAATAAAGGTGTTCTTTTAAATAAATTGAATTTTTAAAACATTCATGTGTAATAAATTTGCTTACTATTAACTGGAATTTGTAAGTGGTAATGCTAAGAATGCACGATATGCTCCTACCAGTGTAACCGATATTGACCAACTTGGAGGTTTGTTTTGTTACAATATCAATGAGGATGCAACCGAGACCGTTGTTACTAGAACAGATTTATTGGAATCAGTTAGTCCTGGTCTGAAAGATGGAGGTTATGGTTTTCATTGGACTAATATATTTCATTTAATACATAATATATAACTATCGTGTAATTAATACTAAGCAATGAATATTATTCTAATCAGGTTATTACGACGATGGTGATCCTATATATATGTGGTAATTGTAAGGCTTATATGTGGTATGGAGAGAGGTTGGGTAAACGATATCGTCGTGGGAAGCCTATATTCTCCATGTGTTGTGGTCAGGGTAAAGTCGTTCTTCCACTTCTTAAAACCCCTCCGAATTCATTATTAGCATTGATGTATAATGATGGTGATTTGCGTGATCACTTTCGTCAGTTTATCCGGGCGTATAATATGATGTTTTCTTTCACTTCTCTTAGAGTTAGAAACGAGCAGATGTTAGCCACTGTAACCAGCGAACAGAGAAGTGTTTATGATGAGATCCTAGAAGCAATAAATAAGAACAAAGGAGGTATGTTCTTTGTTTCTGGTTCTGGAGGTACTGGTAAAACTTATTTGTGGAGTCTATTAGGATCTGCTCTACATTCCCAAGGTGATGTTGTTCTTAAGGTTGCATCGAGCGGGATTGCTGCGTTGTTATTAGAAGGAGGCCGAACTGCGCATTCAAGATTTGCAATCCCTATCGTGGTTAATAAGTTTACCTTCTGTTCAATCAAGAAGGAGTCGAATCTTGCCGACCTGATAAGGATTGCTAAACTCATTATATGGGATGAGGCGTTGATGATGAGTAAAGACTGTTTCGAGACTCTAGATAGAACGATGCGTGATATATTAGAAGTTGATAAGCCCTTTGGTGACAAGGTCATTGTTTTAGGAGGGGAGTTCAGGCAAATGTTGCCAGTGATTCCAAATGTCGGGAAGACAGAGATACTTATGGCCACTTTGAATTCGTCACCTCTGTGGTACAAATGTAGAGTGTTGAGACTTACACAAAACATGCGACTTATAGCTGGAGATAATAGCCGTGCGATGCTTGAACGAGCTGCCTTTACAAAATGGATCTTAGACATTGGTGATGGAACGATAAATGACGATGGAAGTGGTGAAGCCGTGATTAATATTCCTGATGATCTGTTGATTAAAGACTGTAAAGATCCTATAAAAACAATCGTCAAAGAAATTTATGGGAGTTCGTTTTTGAAAGAGACTGATCCTAAATTTTTTCAAGACCGTGCCATACTGAGTCCAAGAAACGATGATGTAGATACGATAAATGATTACATGCTTTCAAAGTTGTCGGGTATGTTTATTTTGTTTTAGTTCCTCTTAACTTATTTGTTTATATTTATATAATACAACGATTATTTTGTATATAACAGGTGTTGAAAGGACCTATTTTAGTTGTGATAGCATTGATACGGCTGAAGAAGTTGTCAATTACAATGATGCATCTGAAGTATCCTTAGAGAGTGTAGCCAGTAAGAATAAAGGTGTTTCCAACAATATGATTTATACCGTTTTAAATAGTATCAAGATGTCTGGTTTCCTAATCATGTCCTAAAGTTGAGA